TGAGTCATACGGCCACCACCCAGCCAATGGGCCTCAGCCAGAGACCAAGTATCTTTACTCCACCCTGTCTCTCAGTACCTCCACCCCTCGTCTAATCAATGATGTTCCATCAATTCTACTTCTCAAACAACTGAATTCTTTCTACTCCTCCCTCTCTGCCACCACCTCATTTAGCCCCTTATTATCACTTTCCTGCATCTTTCCCTTTAAGTTCCATTCTTTCTCAACATTCATTCCTCCCCACTCCCTGCAAACTCTGAATGACTGATGGCATAGTCACCATCATACCTATACGCAGATACCCTCTTCACAATTTTCACACTTCTCCATATTTATCTCCCTCCATGATCACGTTCAAGAAAATTGAGCTGTTGGCAATTTCCTCCAAAGCCTGATGTTCATGACAATCCTCATGAGTGAGTGCCCCTGTGCTGGCATTTCAGTCTGTCTAGAATGCTCTTACATCAAGATTTCGCACAAATGTAACGTGTTATATAATGCTTTCTCTGCGCACCATTTGTGACTCAGGGTTCTCCAGAGGAACAGAATCAATGTGTGGAAGTGCTGCGTGTGTGTGTGTGTGTGTGTGTGTGTGTGAGAGAGAGAGAGAGAGAGAGAGAGAGAGAGAGAGAGAGAGATGTTAATTTCAAGAAATTTTTCCATGTAATTATGGATATTGGCAAATACAGAATCAGTGAGGTGAGCTAGCAGTCTGGGGATAAAAACAAGCATCGATGCTAGAGTTCAAGTTCAAAGGCCAACAAACTGGAGACTTGGGGAAAGGTGATATATCACAGTTGAAGTCTAAAGGTTGTCTGCAAGAAAAGGCCTCCAACTGATTGCATGAGGCTCACCCACTTTAAGGACAATAAAGGGGAATCTGTTTACTCATTGCTTAAGGACTGAGGATGCAGCACATGCCTTCCATGTATCAGACATATGCCTCACCTCTAAAGAAGAAAGAAAAAGAATAACATAGATTTCAATATCAATCTCATATTTAAAAAATAATATCTGACAGAAACAAACTGAACAATGGAAGGGGGTGGGAAAGAGAGAGACTGAGGTTTTGTTTGTTTTTATTTTTGCTGTGCCAGGGATCAAACACATTGCAGGCAGGCGCTCTGCCACTGAGGGCCAACTCCAAGCCCAGAATAATGTTAAACTATGTATGTGAGGACCAGGACCTGGCCTAGATGGCACAAAAAAAAAAAAAAAACTAACCATCATAATTCTGAGCAAGAGTAAGGATTTTCTATGATCCCATCACATTACCAATAAAACTATTTTAGCATAACTAGACCATTTGTTGACCTTGCTCATGTAGGTAGAGACCGTGTGTTGGCTACGTTTAAGTCCCACTCTAAATCTAGTACTAGTAACTACTTTTCAGATTAAGAACCTAGTGAAAGCAGTAAAGGGGGGTAGTTAAGGGGTTATGGCATTTGCCTTGCATGGAGCCAACCCTCGCTCACTCACCAGCACAGCAACACCAGGAGCAACCCCGCAACCTGCAGTGCCACAAAGGCAGAAAGAGCTCCCAAACACAAAAACAAACTCATGAAAACTAAGTGAAATCACTGTTTTTATACTGTTCAAACAATAATATATATATTTACATAGATAGATAGATAGATAGATAGATAGATAGATAGATAGATAGATAGATAGAACCTTAAAACAATCACCAAATTAGAGGTTTCTTACTGGTTCCCCAAGAAAGGAAATAAAAATAGAGTAAAAAGAAGCAGTTTTTTAACTAATGCAGCTTCGCTGAAACACCATAGATCTAGTTACTTTGAAATCTGCTCTCCTTGGGGCTGGAGTGACAGCACAGCAGACAGGGCATTTGCTTTGTACGTGGTCGACCTGGGTTCGATTCTCAGCATCCCATATGGTCTCCTGAGCACTGTCAGGAGTAATTCCTGTGCAGAGCCAGGAGTAACCCCTGTGCATCGCCAGGTGTGACCCAAAAAATAATAATAATAATAATAATAAAAAGAAATCTGCACTCCTTGACTAGCAGACTTCCTCTGCTTCCTCGAGTATGAATGAATGGGCCTGAGGATGACTACCATATGCATGGCAGCCTCCGCAGCTCCTGACCCACAGGAAGTCTCTACCACCCCATCCATGATTCACCTGTTCATGAAAGTTCCAGGCTCTCCACTTAAAGCACTTGTGACACAGTAACAGTTGAACCCATAATTCCAAGCATGTGTCATAAAGCAATTAGAAAAATTTCCTGCATCATTTTGAAATCTAGGAATGAAGGTATAAAGAGCAAGAAATGGTCAACAAACAACCTGACATCACTTCCTTCTAGAGCCAAGGTGTTTGGTGAGATGAGTCTTTCACAAAGATTTTAGTTAAGACTCTGCAATTGTGTGAGGATTTGGGATGTTGTAGGTATCATTCTAGAGCAGTTCATGTGAATGAGAAAATTTCACACTCACCGTAACCTTTGACACAGGTATTACCTTGCCACATTTTACAGAAGCTGGAAGGTGTTGAAATACAGAGATTCAATGATAAGGTTGGGTGGCAGCTCAGTGGTGGTTCAGAACTGGACAGTCTGACTCGTAAGCCCAGGGAAAGTCAGCTCAAGACACAGTGCAGACACTCAGAAACCTCAGAATGACAGCAGCGAAGCAGGAATAAATGAGACAGTTGTCGGAATACTGGTCCTATCACACCCCATCAGGCTCTTTAGGGTCTCCATGCCCAAACCATTCCAGCCCACCCCCTGGGTCACTCTTTCTCCCATTCTACTCTTCAGCAAGGCTAAATGAGTCTTGATTCCATCAATGTCTCTTGTCTGACACAAAATCAACAGTACTCCCCCCACTCTCCTTCACCCTCTCTCTTCGTCCAGGCTATTTCTACTCATTATCAGACTTCAATTTTACCCCGACTTTCTCTGAGGAAAACTCTCCTGACTGTCCAGCCTGGCTAGGGTGCCCTCCTTTTCTGCTCCTATCATTTAATGGAATATTTTTTAGTACAGCTAGCATCAAACTGTGTGGTCATGGGCCTTCTTCTAACACTAGTCTTGATGTGTTCATACTGTAATTCCCATTTTCCAGGGCAATGTCTGCCATCTAATAGGAACCAAATCAGCATTTAATAGAAGAAATAATTGGTTTTAATGAATGGATTGAATATTGTTTATCCCTTGGGGTTTTGAGGGGAAAGGGATTGTTTGTTTTTGGTTCAGGAACCATACCCAATGGTGCTCAGTACTTACTACCTTACTACTGACTACATTCAGGGATCACTCTTGGCAGTGCTTATGATACCATATGGGGTGCAAGGTCAGCCACGTGTAAAGCAAGCATCCTGACCACTGTGCTATCTCTTTGGCCTCTATTCCTTCCTTTTCAACATCTAAGAGACTTCTAAGATACAAAAGAATCCTTAATATTTCATTAAAAATTAATACCCTTGTGATACATTCTCTTCTACCAATTTAAGGGGTTCCTTGACTGCACTGTCAAAGAAAAGAATCTCTGAGAACCAAGCATGAGTGACTGTGAAATTTTTCTTTTCCAATTTCAATCTCTAAATCCAAGGATCTATCATCAGAGGTCATTCAGGAAACCCTGGAAGCTAGCTGAAGACATCAAAGCAAGGTTGTTCATGATTGTCACTCAATGACTCTTTTGCAAACCACAGCACCCAAAAGGAGAGAGAACAAAAGGGAATGCCCTGCCACAGAGGCAGGGTGGGATGGGGGGGTGGTTGGTGGGAGGAATACTGGAATCAGTGATGGTGGAGAATGGGCACTGGTGGAGGGATGGGTACTGGAGTATTGTATAACTGAAACCCAAGCACAAAAACGTGTAAGTCCACAACTGTACCTCATGGTGTTTCACTAATAAAAATTAAAAAAAAAAAAAAGCAAGGTTCTCCACATTGTTGCATACTGAATCTCCTCCTGAATCACTGTTAAAACAATGTCTGGGTGTGGACTAACTTGGGGGCCATCAGCATGCTATCTGTTTTTTCATTATGTTTTCATAAGTAATCTCCATCATTGCTAAGCTATTCAAATGAGCTTCGTGTGATTCCTACTGATCACTCTCTTAGTCATGGCACAAGCTGTCATTCATAACAACAAATATTGAAGGAGATTATTTTCATCTTTAAATATTGAAAGAAACTATTCTCCCTTCTGTCCTGGGACAGAAAGCTGTAAGTCAGAGAAGCATATTTTGTGTAATGTTTCACTCTACCCCCCACTTCAGGAAAAGAGAAAAAGCAGGAATGATACTAGATGGTAGAAGAGGCTGCCAACTGGTAACTTTCTATGAGCCTATGAAGTCATAAACTATATTCATGCACTGTTACAAAATAAATATTCTGAACTATGTTCAGAATAAATAAATATTCTGAACTCCCCTCCCACATCCCCAAATTCCTATATTGAACTCCTTACCTCTGGTAATCTTCAGAAATGTGACTAGGTGGATATAGGGTCTTTACGGGGGTCACTCGGGACATCGGGGGCCAGGATTGTGTCCCAATGGGAGAGCATCAGCTTTGCATGTGCAAGCCCTGCGTTTGTTTCCCACTAGGCACTGCAGGATGTGGCTGCCACAATAATTTGTTTTGTTTTGTTTTTGTTTTGTTTTTTTTGCCTTTTTTGGGTCACACCCAGCAAAACTCAGGGGTCACTCCTGGCTCTGCACTCAGGAATTACTCCTGGCAATGCTTGGGGGACCATATGGGATGCCGGGGATTGAACCCGGGTCGGCTGCATGCAAGGCAAACTCCCTACTCGCTGTGCTATCGCTCCGACCCTGCCACAATAATTTTAAAGAAGAGAAGGATGACATTAGGGTTGACCTTACTCAACTCTTAACCATTTCACTTAGAAGAGAAAATCTGGACTTTGTTAAGTGCACAGGAGGAAAACAAAGGGAGAGAGACCAAGTAAACCTATCCACATCTTAATCTTGGACTTTGAGCCTCTAAAACCATAAGAAAACTCATTTCTGGTATTGTATGAAAGGAAAGGAGGTTATTACCACCTTGACAAGGAAGCAAGAGGCTTTGGTCTACAATAAATGTGGTTAAGGCACTGTCACCTCCTGTGTTTAAGCTACCCCAACTGTGGCATTTTGTTACGAGATCTTTAGCAAGCTAATATAACACATGATTAGCAAATCATTAACAAATGATAAAACAAATGTGAGAGCACAATTAGAATCCCAAGCACATGCAGTGTTTTATGCCATTTTTTTGATTCTCCATTTTAATGTAAGTAATACTGCCATGGGCTTTCGTATACAAAGTTCTTTTGGGGATTGGGTTGGGTTTGGGCATCACCAAATGGTGCTCACAGACTGCTCCTAACTCTATGCTCAGGGATCACTCTCAGCAATGTTCCAGGGGCCATATGCAATGTCAGTTTTTAACTGGGGTTGACCATGCGCAAGGCAAGTGCCTTAACCCTTGTTAAGTTTTAACAAGTTTACGGTCACGGTCCTCCCATTGTTCATCGATTTGCTCGAGCGGGCCCAGTAACGTCTCCATCATGAGACTTGTTGTTACTGTGTTTGGCATATCGAATATGTCATGGGTAGCTTGCCGTGCATTATTAAATGGTCATATATGAGCCCAAATGTCTATTACCAGTTGGAAATTAGAATACTTTGAAACTAGCTAAAACTGCTAAAGCAAGACTCCTGGTGGCACTTTAAGATAGGAAGACATATTTTCTTTTCTTTAAACCTAGGAGTAAATAATTGGTTTTACAGTAACTCTATGCTTCACTCTGAGTAACTGCCAGGCTGTTTCTCAAACTGGTGCCCCATTTTCCATTCCCATTAGCAATCTCTAAGATTTCTAATCTTCTCCAAATTTTTTTCAAATATTTACAGTTTTGAGCAGTTTTGACTTTTTATCTTTGTTTTGTGGCTATTGGTACTACTGCCAGTAATATATTTTAGAAACTGCACAGAAATATGATAGCTTGCATTTATTTCTTAGCAAATACAAAGATATTACTTATTCCATGATTCTGTTGTCCAGAATTGTTTGGTTGAGAATCAAAAACTACAACCCATAGGCCAAATTCATGTTCTGCTGGTTGTTTGTTTGTTTTATGCTAAGGGGTCATCTCCTGGCAGTGCTCTGGGGACCATGTGGCACCAATCCAAGTTTGATCCCCAGCACCACCTATGCTCCCCCAAGCCCACCAAAAGTAACCCCTGAGCAACACTGGGTGTAGCTGAAAAAAGAAAACAAAACAAAAAAAAATAACTAAAACATAAATGCAAATGCAAGCCAACAATAAATTATTTAAAGATTTTTTTTTTTTTTAGCTTTTGGGCCTCCCAAGCAGTGCTCTTGGGCCCCGGGTCACTCCTGGCCATACCTAGCCCACCAGGCAGTGTGGTATGACTCAATGTAAGGACCTGAGGAGGCAGAGCTTCTGGAGTGCCAGCAACCACCAAGACCAGCATCCTCCATGCTGCTATGTCTAGAGATGATGGGCAAATAGGATAGGGGAATTTAAAAACTGATCTTTAACTCAAATTGAGAAGCACTCAAACAAGACTCAAAGTTTAAGGAATCATAAGAAGAACCCGAGATGACAGGAGCATCCTGAAGGCAGGAATTCTATTGTTCAAGTACGTGGTCATACAACACAGCACCTAGACCAGTGTTCTTCTAAGGAAGTGATGTCATTCTCAAGGCATGATGGAATGATGGGGAAGGGGGACAGTAGCACCCTCATGTGCAAATACGGGGAACTTTCTGTGTGCTTAAAGAAGGGAGATTTTGGAGGGATGCGAACTAAGTGTTTTTTTTCTTTTTTTCTAAATATTTCATAACAAGCCAAAAATGATAAGTTCTGACTTGACAGTGCCTAGCGCATGTAATAGGTGCTCATTTAAAAATACACAAATATACAAATCCTAGGCAACACTCTTTCTGATTCCAATGCCACAGCCAAGGATTACCATTTTCTAGGTGCACTTGTTTTGTTTTCACTTACTTTGCATTGGCTGTACAGAAAGGGCAGAATCTGGAACCAGTTCTGGGTACAATCCCAGCCTCATCTCTTACTAGTCTGGCTACCTTGGGAAAATTAACTTCTCTGTGATTCTTCTGCCAATGGCAATAACAACATTGACTGTGGCATTATTAAAATCACATTCAGTTAAAACATGGAAATGACTTAGAAGGGTGTGTCACATGTAGAAATGCATCACTGTTTGTTATGACCTTCCAGAACGGCACTCTGTAGATGTCATCTTTTGAAAGACTTCCATTTTACAGTTTCTCCAAGTTGGAGATCACTAGCTTTTTGAAACAATCTGTCCTCGGTAAAGATCATCAGATATTTTAGGCAAAACACGAGGTGCCTATTTCTATAATTTTTCATAAATTTGTAAAGTACTGCTGATCATAGTGCTTGTGATAAGAACTAACTTTAAGTTAACCACCCAGGAAGGTGGTACAGAAGTACAGGTTTTTAATCTGTCATTCACACAGTGCACCCCGGGCCTAAACAAAATTTATAAAACAAAAAATAATATCAAAACACATCAGTTCATGGAAACCCTCTCGCATTGGGTAGTGGGAGTGGTGGGAATGGGGGTGGCTCTCCCTGAAACGGTCCTCTGTGGTCATTCTGCATAACTGGAAGAAGCTACTACAACCAGTTCACCAGAAAGTCTTGCTCTCCACAAGCATTATGTCTGGCTCTGCTGTGCCTTCGACTGAAATCAAATCTTCCAGCCCCTGCCTGCTGAGAACTTTGTTTTTTTTCAGGGCCACACTAAACCTCCGGCTCTGGGCACATCTCTTTGATTCCACTGTTCTTCCTGCATTAACATACGCTTCAGAGACCTGGGCCTTATGCAAACAGGATGAGAACGCTATTCGGGTCTCCCAAAGAGGAATTGAAAGAGCTATGCTTGGAATATCACATTTCACTCAAATGAGACAAAGAATCCGGAGTTCTGATCTCCATTGACGATCAAGAATCAGGGACGCTGTCTCGTTTGCCAAGGTGTCAAAAATCAGATGGGCTGATCACGTAATGAGATTTAGAGACGACTGCTAGACTAGAGCTGTTACCGACTGAATTCCACGGGATGTCAAAAGACCGCGTGGCTGCCCACCTACCAGATGGTCAGACTTCTTCATCAAGATCATGAACAATCGGTTTGGGGCTCTTCGTGTTCCTAGAACAAACAGACGCCACTGGGCTACACTAGCACGCGACAGGGACAAATGGAGACGTTGCTGGCGCCCGCTCGAGCAAATCGACGATTAACAGGAAGTCAAGTGATCAAGTGACACTAAACCCACTGCTATAGCAAGTGCCATGTACTCAAACTAATAGAAACCACAAAAAATCTTACATCATCGTTCTTATTTGTCTTGTTCACAAAGCGGACCTCAAGGCAATTATCAATGTGTCTTGTGCATATTGTGTCCAAAACCGGGGGGGAAAGGAACACTAAAAAATATCATCAAAGAAACTATTGATCAGATATCAGCTAATTCTTTACTTGTTTGTTTCCTCCCATGACAAAATGTTATAAGGGCCAGAATCTTAACTGGCTCGCTTATAAGCAGGGACTAGCACTAACAAGTGCTAAATAAATATTGACTGAACAAATGATAGAGTAAATGGATGAATTACGGGACAAATAGTCTTTGCAAAGTGGATCCATCTGATACCTTATTAAGTGATCTCATTTCCCTCCACACAAAGCAGGAAAAAGGAAAGCAAGTACCTTGCCCAGTCTCAATAATCAAGCAGCTCTTTCCCAAAATCAAAAGCACACTCTATAAGCCAAATGCAGGCATTCAAACCTAACTTAGTTGCATGAAACTGAGTCCTAGACTTGGTGAGAATAAAGTGGTTGCCAGAGCGGAAGGGCTGGGGAGGAGTGAACAGAGAGTTCTTTTTGGTGGTCAGACAGCACTAGAAGTTTAGTGGTGGAAGTGTTATGATATAAATACACACAGGTGTGAAGCCAAACCCTGAAAATTCATAACATCACAAACCAGGGACAGAGAGATAGTATAGCATGCAAAGTACTTGCCTTGTATGCAACCAACACTGGTTTGATCTTCAGCACACCCCATATGGTCCCATATGAGCTTCTCCAGGAGTGATCCCTGAGTGCAGAGCCAGGAGTAAGCTCTGAACAATGGTGGGTGTGACCTAAAAACATTAGTAGTGATAATAATTTTTCCATTTTTAAAAGTAGGCAACACATAGCATACATAGCATGCTGACATCAAGCCAAGAGTTATTAAAGAACATGCCTCCACCCCCCAAAAAAGATTTCTTTGTCTTTGTCTTCTTTAGACAATTTTGCATGATTGTTTTTAGGGGAGGAGCAAAGTTTTCCATTACCTAGGTCATTTCTCTCATAGTTCTATCATGCCACTGGAGTCATCAGTTTTGTAATATTTGAGGATTACATCGATCACAGATGACAACAGACTCCCCTGGATTGGAGGATCAGCAAACCCCAATGACCTGGGTGTCCCTAAAGGTGTCACCTAACCTGAGACTTGGGTTATTCAAAGGTCAGGGTGCAGGAAATCAAAGCTCTAGCCAGATGCAAGCTGGATCCCATTGCTTTTGCTGCTAACTATTGTGGGTGTGAACCCTGCGGGGATTGGAGAGACTTGTTGTCAAAATGGTAATCTGCGGGTCACTCTGCCAGTGTCTTTCCTTACCATGTGAGTGTTTACAGGGACAAATGGAGATGTTACTGGCGCCCGCTCGAGCAAATCGCCGATTAACAGGAAGTCAAGTGATCAAGTGATACTAAACCCACTGCTATAGCAAGTGCCATGTACTCAAACTAATAGAAACCACAAAAAAACTTACAGGGGCTAAGATTCTAAAATCAAAGGTGTTCATGCCTGAAAGGACCAGAAGAGAGTGTAATCTTAGGGCTGAAAGGTCAAAGGCCAAGAGCTGCCAGGCAAGACAGCTCACTGAAAGAGGATAAGCAGGGGGCACCTGGGTTTGATCCCAACTACCACACAGTCTCCTGAATACTGAGCACTGCCAGGTACAACCCTCAAGCACTAAGCCAGGAGTAGCCCCTGTGAAGCCCAAAAACAGCACAGAATAAAATT